CCTCCGGGTTATTTTAAACTTGAGGTTGCAGGGTATATGTTGGGTTAACCCAAGGTATCTCTCAAGGGGCACAAAAGGACAGTTAGGGGCCTCGAAGGACAATGGGGGCTCCACTATCAAGAGTCTGAGAGCCTGACTGGCTTTCTGTATTTGTGACTAATGCTGTAGGAATAAATCTGGAGTGGTCAAAGGTAAATCCACTGGGAGGTTCAATGTTTGACCAAACACTTTCATTTAATTTAGTTTGTAATCAATAATCTATTCCTATTTCATAAGATATTTAGAAGGCACCTGATAGGCAATGTAAGGGTCACTCTGCTAGTTTAATCGTGATAATTACTGACTTTAATTTTTCTGCCTGATGATAGAAACTTCCATGAAATTTTGCTGTTGAAAGCTTTGATTAGCACCCAACCCCAAAGTTCAGGCTCAGTGCTTTGAGACAGGCCTCTTGCTAGAGCCTGGCACATGGTAAATGCATAATAGCGAATTCAGGGAGTATTTAAGCCATGAAATGAAACATAACCTGTATGTTCCGGTTCCGTAGTTTCCATCAATGAACAGTGTGCCATCTCCCACTCTTTCCTTATTTTGTGACAACAGTCAGTCTTTCACATTTTGGATCCGTCTGGATTTATTTCTGTTTGGAAGTCGTTTATTCTCTGCAATATATAAGCTGACTGCCCTGAGTATTTAGGGTGGCTGCAGAATGAAATTCATGCTACCTGAATATCTGTGTGTGTTCATCTTCAGACTTTTTCTAGAGAAACGCCACACATTTACAGCCTGTCTTCGTTATCTACAAAGAAGCATTTTCTTTTTAACCAGTCATATGGTCACTTACATCGTGGGTCAAACATCCTGCTGTTCAGCAGTTACTAGTGTTTGGTACACCTGAATCTAATAGTCTGTTATAGTCTGTTAATATGAAATTTGAAGCTCATAAAATATTTTATTTTGGAAGCATGAATTTTTTTTTTGGCAGTACTGGGATTTGAACTCAGAGTCTTATGCTGGCTAGGCAGGCACTCTACAACTTTAGCCACTCCCCCAGCCCTCTTTCAGAACTGCACCATCATGCCTGGCTCTAAAGTTTACATTTGAGTGTTTCCTGGTTCTTTATGAATTATATGTGTGGGTGTACATGAAGGCTGTATAAGACACTGGATGTGTGTTGCATTCTTTTCTGGAATACTCTTGAGAAACTGCCTTTTCTTCCAAATAAGCTGCAAGGGCAGATGAAGGGCCAGTTTTCAGGAAAGGGCCTCTGCCTTCTGACAGGATGTTTGCTTTCTAATGAGGCTTTCCTTCAGAGGCAGGGAAGGCCTTGCTTAGGCTGTTGAGTCTGAGTTTTCATGGTGGGGTCAGTGTTTTGGAGTCTGATGTTGTGTCAGGTTAGCCGACATGTTGCCTATTCTCCTCCAGAGAGGAGCCAAGGCCGCCAAAAATAGCTAGGAAAATATGTTGCAGTTAGATATTTCTCTTAATTGTTAAATTAGAGTAGGATGACTCTGGAAGTCTTCCACAGGGTAATTTTAAGCTTGAGGTTGCATAGTCTGTGTTGGATTAACTCAAGGTACTCTCTCAAGAGACAGAAGGTCTCCTTCCATTGCTTCTGTGTTAATTCAGGTCTTCATTTTCTGCTTGGATTGTCACAGCATCCTTTGCTTCTTCCACAGCATCCCCATCCCAGTGGCACATTTGTGACCTACATAGGCCCATAAAGCTTTCTAGTTTAATGTGCTTCAGTTGTCATTCTCCAACAAAGAACCCCACATTTTCACTTTTCACTAGGCCCCACAATTTAAGTAGATCGAGGAGTGGCATTTCTAAAACTACCTTCTTTAAATATCCTCTGAGTCCTTGCTCCTTATCCCACCTTGTCTGACCCCATGTTTTATTAGTGTCCTTTTCAATAGTCACTGCTTGAACTTCCTCTAGGTATGCACTGGCCCCAGGTCTCTGCAGTATTTACTCATGGTGCTCCCTTCCCCTCAGTTCCTACTTGGTTATATTGATATCTGTTTGTGTTCTGAAATGCTAGAGAACTAATTTGAGACTGACGGCTTGGGCTATAGCTCAGTGATTAGGGCACGTGCCTAGCGTGTGTGAGGCCCTGAGTTTGAGCCACAAGATCGGAGAAGGAAAATCACTGGGCTGAAATCTAACCAGCCACTTGTCCAAATCACTTTGCTTGCCTCATCTCCATTAGTTGCTGTCTAGGAATATCTTGGCATAATGGCTCTCTTTTTGTCAGGGTAAAAGATTTTTACCTCATCTTTAGGTCATTCACTCATTCATACATTTTTATTTAGCATATTTTAATTGTACATAATAGTAGATTTCATTATTATATTTTCATACGTTTATATAATGAACTTTGACTCTATTCACCCCCATTACTCACTCTTGGTCCCACCTCCTGCTTGTCCTCTTCCTCTTCGCAAATATCCTCTTTTCTACTTTCATGTCCTTAACGAAAAAAAAATCTCTATTCATGTGGGAGAGAAAACATGTGCTATCTGTCTTTCTGAGCCTGGCTCATTTTGCTCAACATGCACCAAAGTTTTACAGCAGGCCATAAGCTCAGCAGTGAGGATGTGGCATTGAACAGAATAGTTCACTTTTTCCTCATTGAGCTGCTCTAGTTGGGGAAGGCTAGAAAGTGAAATAACATACATCCACATATGACATGGAAGATCTAGAGTTCTAGAAAACAGGGCAAAGTTCACACCTTGGTTGCTCACCTCAGAGGATGTGTAGGTGTGGTTTATGGTCACCTTAAACTTGGATGGATGGGAGTAAGCACCGGGCTCTGGGCTTCACCTGACACATTGCAGTGGGAGACAGTGCAGAGCTTATCAGTTACTCTGTGTATCCTTTCTGCATAGAATGGGGATACCATATGTACATGGAATGTGGATATCATACAGGATACGGAACCATACGGGTGTTACTGCTCAAAGGAACAGAAAACTCAGTGTATCATTATTTGCAACAAAAAGCAGAAACAGGGATTGGGGTGTAGCTCAATGGCCGAGTACTTATCTGGAATTTATGAGGCTCGAGGTTTGAACTGCCAAAAGGGATAATTAGAAACAACCCAAATTTCTTTTAAAGTACATATAAACAAAATGTGGTGTAGCCATATGACAGAATGTTATTCAACCATAAAAAAAGAGTGAAATGTAGATAGTAGTTCAACATGAATGAACTTTAAAAACGTTCTGCTAGTTGAAAAAACCCAGAAACAAAAGAAAACATGAATATTGTATGATTCCATTTATGGGAAATGTCCTCAATAGGTAAATAGAGGTAGAAAGTGGTTTAGTCACTGCAGAGAGAGGACAGTGCTGGAGGGAGTGGGGAGTGATGATTAGTGGGTACAGAGTTTGTTTCTGGGGTTAGGACTGGTGATGGTTGCACAACATTGAATATACTAAAAGCCACTGAATTGTACATTTTAACTGGAATTTTTTGTGGTGTGGGAATTATATCTCAAGCTGTCAAATACCAGTATGACATTACCTTGGAAGGTGAGGCTCTTAAGAGAATTAATTGAAAGGACACTTAACGTGCCTAAAGCATGGTGCCTGGGCACAGTGTGGGTGCAGTTAGTGGTTAAGTAATGCTGACTCCTTATCAGTAAACTGGAACTTTCATTCCCAGCTACATCTCTAGAATATTACCTGTTACATGGTATGCGATCAGTAGTACTTGTTGAATGAATGTGGTTTCTTCAACATTCAAGTTCAGCCACATTCATGAATATGGCTTTCTTCATGGTTCTGCTCCTTACAATATGTTACTGAATAGGTTTCAGTATGGCCTGTGGGTTCTCTTGTTTGTTTTGTTATTGTTGCTGCTTTTTTTGGGTGGGAGCAAACAGGGTCTCATTATGTAGCCTAGGCTTGCCTCAAACTCATGATCTTCCTGCCTCATCCTCTCGTGCTGGGATTACAGGCATGCATCACCAAGCCCAGCTTGGGCCTATGTTTTTGAGCTACCTGTCCAGTGTTAGGAGTTGAGTGATATGGAGCTCTTCAAAGCTCATATTTCAGTGCCTCACTTAGGGATAGGGATGTAGACTCAGTCTGGGGAAGAAGGCTCTCCTCAAATTTAAGGTGAATGTGGCTACAAAATGATTATTGAGCTTTTTCCAGAGATATAATTCTGCTTTGTGTTTTTATAAGAACTCAACTGGCCTGTGAGAATGTGGCTCTTAATGGTTTATTATCAGTTCCTTGGCGTGCAGAGGACTTCAATTTTGCTAAAAACCTTCAGTTCTGAGAAATTTTCAGATTTCAACTGATTAATTTGTTCTGCTGAACTCATGTCACAGTTTCTATGTAGAAGAAATTTTCTTTTAAATTAAGGTAGAATCCTTTTTTTTTCTGTGAAAGTGGGCTTCTTTTTTCCTTTTTTAAAAATAACTCAAATCCTTTTATGAAACTTCAGTCTACTAGCAGTGCTGGGTTGCTTTTACGTCTGTGTCATCAGGGTGCCATTGGCCTATATTGACTCATGGAAAGAAATAAGCATGTTTGTGTCCTATTCTTCTTTTTGACATGTGACCAATTACTGTCTTTGTTACCATAACACTTTTGGAGGCTCAGTTCCTAATTTCCTTTCCCCTTTCCCTTCTCCTTCCCCTTCCATGTTTCTCTCCTATTTTTGCCTGTGCACCTCTCCAAAAGTTGCATTTCATAATTCATTAGGAGTCAAATGACTTAAATAAGCAACAATGCCACCATTATAAGACCAATATTTAAAAACTGTAACAACTACTTCAACATTCCCTCCATTCCAGGCAGGGTGAGAAAGAAGCCAAAACTGTCAGAACAGAGGAAGCAAGCCTTTTCCCCTGTTGGAAGCTTGCTTTTCCTCTCTTCTCCTCTTCTTCTTTTCCTCTTCCCTTCCTGGATTACAGAAGTATGTCACCACACCCCGCTGGAAGCCTTCTTGAGTGTTTCTTTTCCTGTTTTTGTTTTTTTAAACAGAAGTTGGGGACAAGGTGAAGCAGTACCTGGAAAAAGGTGTTTTGGTTCCTGATCAGGTGATCACATGCCTAATGATGTCAGAACTGGAGAACAGGAGCGGCCAACACTGGCTACTAGATGGTGAGTGAACTGTGGATAAGCTGTCTCCTCACTAACAGACCAGAAACTGCCTTTCCCTCTAAACCTTCTGCCATTTATCTAGTGTTACAGTTTGGCAACACAGAAACCATTAAACCTTGCCTGCATTCATTGCTGCGTATCTCAGGTTTGATGTGGTTGTTTTCTTTTATGACTGTCTCCCCAAGTGTAACGCACCTCAGGTGAGAGGCACTTTTCATTCACCATCACCAGAAGCTGCTCAAATTACAGCAGGTTAACAGAGGACATCTGAAAACCTTAGGAAACAAGGGCGGCGTGGGGAGCCTTGAAGAGCAGATCAATGATAGGTGTGCTTTTTGATGTAGCACTTCCATTTTGCATTGCTACCTAAAGATATTACTGTAGTACTACTGGTGGTACTGGGGTTTGAACTCAGGGTTGCTAGGCAGGCGCTCTAGCCACATTTGAGCCCCTTCACCAGCCAAGATGCATTTTAAGGGATGTTTGTTTAGCATTATTGGTGAATAGTAAGACACTGTCCCTGGGTTTCTTTTCCACGGGAGGAGTCAACAGTTGTAAAGAAGTGAAGACTTTGTCACTATGACAAATGCCTGAGAAAAGTGACATAAGGGAGGAAGGATTTATTTTAGTTTGTAGCTTCATACATTTCAGCCCATAGTCCTTGGCTCCATTGATTCTGGGTCCATAGTAAGGCTGAACCTCATGGCAGTGGGAACATGTGGAAAAGGAGGCTGCTCACCTCATAGTGCACTGGAAGAGAGAGGGGGTGAAAGGACTGGGCATGAGGTATAACCTGCAAAGATCACCTCCTGTGACCTACTTCTTCCAGGTAGGCCTCACCTCCCAAAGTCTCCAGAATCTCCCTAGACAGTGCCACCAACTGGAGACCAAGTGTTTAACACACGAGCCTGGGAGAAGACATTACATATTCATAACCCAATGGAACTGGGAAAGGTTGGTCACAGGGACCATGGAAGAGTTAAGAAGGGGCACAACATAACCAGGTTGATCTCTCAGAAAGATTAATTTTTGTACACAGCACAGGAGAGATTGGGCGCTGGGGCAGGGAGGGGGGTGTCAACCAGAAGCCAAATAAGACAACCTTAGAGTGACTGGACTAAGGGATATCCTACTCCAGAATTTAAGTTATAGCAGTGGAACGGATTCTCATGGGAGAATGAGCTGAAGAGCAAGGACCGATGGGAGTGGTGGCTAAGGTCACCTGACCTCCATACAGCTCTGGGTGTTTTTTATTGGCATTCAGCCCTTTCCAAAATTAATTGGCTACCATCACCCTCTTTGCATGTTTACTTCTCCAGACTTTATGCATTTAATTCATATTTATTTGAAAGGAGACCCCCACTGTTTTTAGAGGCAGTGTCTTGCTATGTTGCCCAGGCTGGCCTTGAACTTGCAATACTCCTGTATCAGCTACCTCAGTGTTTGGAATTACAAACATGCACCACCACTGCCTGCTTCTTAATACTTATTGTTTATTTGCCATGACTAATAAGCTCCAGTTTTACCATTACCTCGCAATAATTTCTTTGGCTTAAGTACTTTAACGGTAAGGCTTTTTGTCTTGTAAAGTAGGTTTGTGTAGTTTTATTGAACTGAAAGATCTGTGTTAAGAAAGGACCATCTGTGTTAAGCTCCTTTGGAGAGATGGTTAATATAATATTTGAGCATGGGTCCTGGTGCCAGACTGCTCTATTTAAACCTCAGCTCTGCCACTTTCTGGCTGTATGTGACCTTGGTGCATCTGATTCCTCATGGAAAATGAACTAGGAAAGAGTTTGTAAGCATGAAGGCAGTGAATATATGTGAAGTGCTTAGAAGAGGGCTTGCCATGTGGTTAAGTGTCATGAGATTTTGTCAAGATTTGTCATGGCTGATATGCAGATCCTGACTTTTTTGGGGGGTGGTGGTGACTATATGAAGTGTTAAGTTCAGAAATAGTTTTAAAAATATTTAGCCACACAGAGTTGAAAAGTCAGTCAGTTATGGAATGTTTTATGCCTCTTTGCAATGCTTGCTTTTGCCGTAACTATTCCTCTCTGGATGAACAAGTTCTTTTTTACATCATAGGCCTGTTTTTAGTGAAGTGCGTCAGTCTCCTGACTGATTTAGCTTGCATCGTTCTCCTTGAAAACCCATCTGGTCACTGATTTTTCTTTAACTCTCTGGAATCAATCCATTTGGCAATGGGAGGATGTAAGGAATGCCTAGTTCCTGTGTTCAGCTCCACATTACATGTTACGGGCACAGGCTCGTGCTCTGTGGAGGATGTGCCTGTTGAGTGTGCTAAAGGTGACTGAACGTGGAAAGGTCAAGGAAGGAATTCTGGATGACAGACTGACTCATCTTCTTGGTCCATATGGCCTTGGAGAAGCTTTGTGCTAATGGTGGGTGGGAATGAGTGGAGTGGATGCCAGCCAAGAGCACCAAGTGGGGTGGAGGATGGGAAGAGTGATGCTTTGGTTGCTCAGCTCTGTCCTTGCTAAAAAGTTCAATACTGCCTTGTTTTCACAATACATGGGCAAAAATATTGTGTGTGTGTGTCTCTATAAGGCGGGGGGCGGGGAGGGAGTTCCTCTTTTTTCCAGTTATCCTACCAGAGGATTATAATGCCAAGTTCTATAATTTTATTATAAAAGTAACTAATACTGCTCACTATGTGATCTTGAGGTGAAATAGTAACTAGGGGATAATGAGTTTTTTAAAACAATTATAGGGCTAGAGTTTGGCTCAGTGGTAGAGTGACTTGCCTAGCATGCCCGAGGTCCTGAATTCAATTCCCAGCACTGCCAAGGGGGAAAAAAAGGGAGATAAATAAATAAAATAAATAAATAAAATGAGGTCAGTGGGGTCAGGTGAGTTCAGAGGTGTGTCAGTAACAGGTTTTTCATTTCTGTTTTTTGGCATCTCTGAGTGGGCACGAATCATTTCTGAACTTGCCTGCCAACCGAGGCATTTAAATGGTAACCCACAAGTAAGATGAGGGTGTCCTGCTCTTTTTCTCTTTGTAAGTCACTCTCATGGGAATTAAATGGGGACCCACATGGACTACATTAATCCTTTCCAAGGGCAGCCCTCCCGTCCCTCCAGTGACCTAGGTCCCACCTCTTAGAAGGTTCCATCACCTTCCACTTTGCCTCACTGGGAACAAAGCCTTACCACATGAACCTTTGGAGGACACACAACCCATATTCAATCATAACATTAGCTGTCATGGAAAGCAGCCCTAAAGTTTGGAATTCTAAGTGGATTATGACTTCAGTCTTCTGATCGAAGTGAAGATTACTTTCGAACAGTGGTCATGATCTGGCTGTGGTTGTATTGGACTGTGGTCTATTTCTGCCAGTCTGAACAGTATGGAACACTAGCTGGTACTTAACGAAGGAATTCTATTTTTTTAAAGTTTTTATGCAGAAGCCAGAGCGGCTTGAATGTGTGCAGTGTTTGCATGTGTGCTTGTTCTGCCTGAGCGTGAATGCTCTCAGACATGAGCTATCACAGGGCACGTGGTCCCCCAGAGGCCTGTGCTGGGTGAGTAGGAGATGTTTTGCCAGAAACTTAACCACAAGTTCGGGAGCTCTGGCTTTGACTATTTTTTATCAGACTCGACTGCTGGTCCTAACTCCAGACCTTACCTCCTCCATATTTTTCTTTTTTTTAATTATACATTTTTTTATTAGACCACATTCATTATACAGGAGGAGATTCATAGTGACAATTCCGATTAGACTTATATTGTACATTGTTTACATTGCCCCTCCATGTTTTTCTTTGTGAAGCAAATCCCTGAAGACTGTTGCATCCCACTGGGTGACATGTCTACTGAAACAAGACAGAACAAAACAATATTTTCTGCATTGTTTCTTTGGGAGATGCCAAGGGAAATTTTTTCAGTTGTCCTTGGGAAGGTAGGGTGTGTTTCAAGATGAAAATGTAATAGATCTGTTTAGATGATCACACACACACTGTGTGTGTGTGTGTGTGTGTGTGTGTGTAAATAAAAGGGTCTCGAATGTTTCTAAGGTGAATTAAGTTCAGGTATAACTGATTTTCACTGGGCTGGTGACAGTGAAGGAAAAAGGAGGTATAAGAGGAGTATAGACAAGTAGACTAAGCTCCTCCAACACAGGGAGGGTGGAAGATGTATATTCAGCCAGTTGTGGTTAAGTGAGGCGACATCTTGTTCCAGGAGGTAAATGGAATGTATTTTACAGGCAAGGAGTGGCATTTTTGGTCAAAATGACAGCAGGAAAAAGATGGGTGTGTGTTCTGTCTTACTGCCACATTTGTGGAGCCACATCCATGACTCAAGACAGTGTAAATATATCTGACAGTTTCTGCCTCCAATATTCTGATAGAAGGAAAGAATTGGAGCAGTGGCCCCTAAATGAATGTTGTTTAGCTTGTTTTCTTTATGGGAACTTCTGTTGTTTTGGTATTTTGAAAGTAGAATTTGATTGAGATGTGTTTGGTTTTCCTGTGATTGATTTAAAAAATTACTTTTGTAGCTAGGAATCTATGATCCATGTCCCCCAGATTGGGGATTTTTTAGTTTTATAAATCAGATTTGAAAGTTTTTTATCATCTTGAAAGAAGATATTGTAAAACTTGACCTATTTGATTATACTTACTAATATGTTCATTAAATGTTGATATTTTCACGAAATATTGTGTAGACATATAATAGGTTTCCAGTTAAACACTGTGCTGAGGAAGAGCCCACAACCTTATGGGGGCAGGCAGGTGGGCAGCAAGAAGAAAGAGTGTATCTACTTTCAAGGAGGCTAAGCAGCTATTCTCCAAACAGCAATATTGGTTGAATACATAGGAAGACCACTGCCCAGTGGGATATGAAGAGTTATTTTGGTAACTCCTAACCTGAAATTTTACCATGTGTAGCCTGTCAAGATTTTCTGTTGAGGGCTGGGGATTTAGCTCAGTGATAAAGCACTTATCTAGCATGCACAAGACTGTGGTCAGTC